CCGTGTGGCTGCCGGCTGCCGCTGCGGTGTGAACATGACACATATCCGCGGATAATAGCCCCGCTAACTACCAGACAACAAGGGTCCGCCGGTGGCCGAGAAAAAACCGTGTGGGAGACTGGTTTTGAACGTGGAGGATGAGTCAACCCAGGTGTGAAACTCCGCGATCTGAGTCATAATACCGCATCCGCTAACGATCGGCCCAGCCTGGCTCAATAGGCGATCTGGTCCTCACTCCATTCCACAGGACGTGTTGGGGGGGGGGGGGGGTGCTATTTGCATTTAACTTCGTGGCAACCAATCAAATCATTCCCACTTAATGGAAGCCGGAAAAATATGTGCCCATTTAATTGCTAAATAAATGAGCACAACTGGTAGAGCTTATTCTAGGAATGAAATGCAAGAACACAACGATTTACCACCACGTCCTAACGGTACTTTCGGCTATGCTATGACATACTTGACAGCCTGACCAATCAGAGCCTGGATATTGTTGGTTGATAAAGATGAACGAGCTTCAAGCGGGAGGAAGTGGCTCGTGTCCGTCTCTACTCACCCGCTCCGGTCCGGCTGGCTCTCGGTGACCAGCACGCGGAAGTTCTTGCCGCTCTCCTTCTTCGCCCTGATGAGAGCGTCTCTGACGGCCCGCGACCTGCGAAAATAGGAGCAGTGAGACACTAAACTAGCGGTTCCAGCGGGGCGAGCGCACTTCTGACGGTGAAGGTAACAAACACATTCTCTGGAGTTGCAAGAAGGGACAGTGGTAAGGTGAGTGTCCACGTCCAGTGCTATCAAAAACAGCACGGAAAATCGAACACAGCAAGCCGAGCTGAACAATTGAACATGTTTGCAGCTTATAGGATGACCTACATCACCCACAGACCTCTATTCATTTAATGGACAATGCGGCAACCTTATTCCGCGGAGGTGGAGTTAAAGAAGGAACGAAAGCACGGCATCTCACCCGCAGAATCTAACAATAGCCGCGTTTACATAGGGATTGTCGCAAGTTTATAGCTCTGCCTGTGATGTTGCAATAGATGCCAATGGCGCTTTACAACTTACAAAATGGTACTGTCTAAATCTACCAAGAGCACTGCATCGAAATTATCGCAAAATAAATGAGCTGAAGCCTCGTCAAAAATGCTATGTAACCAGGCATAACGAAAGCTAACACCTGGCGGAACAGTGCCAATGTGGACCCGTACGGCTGCGCTGCCCTCTATGTGCGAAACCCTGAACTAAAAACGCCATCCAGCAGCGTTAGGCAGACGTTGGCAAGGCGAGTGGTGTTCAGATCCCCAGGTGACCCCCCCCCCCTCCCTCCCCCAGCCACCCGGTCCCGGTGTCGCTGAGCCCTTACCTGGAGTGTGTGAGGATGGTCATGTCGTCCATGATGAAAGGGTCGCAGAGGTCGGCGATCTTCTGGCGCGCCCCCGAGTACTGCTGGATAAAGTCGCGGCCGCGCTCAATCATCAGACTCTGGCTCTCCCGTAGATGCTGCACGCGGAAAACAATGCTGCATTTAGGCATCAACTTCATAATAGGCCTACTAGTACAGTAAGCTTACTTCCATTCAGACTTCATACAGAAGAGTCATTAACTCTTTCTTGAGTCGATGTTTGTTTAAATTGTTACCGTATGTTTTTTGCTAAGATTTTTGCGACTATAGAAGGCGATTAATTACCAGCTTTTACGACTGCGCATACAGACTCCTGGTTTTGCCGTAGGAATGAAACACAGTCTGAGTGCTACAGACCGGACCCTGACCACCCCACGCTCTCCTCCAGGGCCACCCTCCCGGCCTCGCCACTCACCCCCTTCTTGTCGAGGTTGGCGATCAGCGTGACGGAGCGCAGAAACAGCTCGGTGCCCGAGGAGACGGACGCGCCGGCCTTCTCGCTGGCCTGCAGGATCTTCTGCAGCTGGCCCATCCGCTCCATCAGACCGCTCATAGTCTCGTCTGCACATGCGCAAAAAAACGCCAATAGCTGAGGGAGCTGCGGCTTCGGGCTTTGTCTTTTGTTTGGACATCACATTCTTACCATCAGATCATATGATTGTTCAATGATGTGAAAAATATCCATGTTATTGGCCATTTCTTTTAACCCTCACCCGTAGGGGGGGGGGGGGGGTAGAACAAAACCCTCTCCCCTCGGTTTTTCGCAAATAACTCGCGTAAAAACGACCGAACGGGACGAAACTTTCAGTATCCTCGAGTTTATCAATTTTACAGCAACTCGGAACATTTCATGGCCCTGACCCAAATGGCCTTTGACCTGTGACCTATTTCTCGAGAACATGTTTGGACAGAATTGCGATTCGGTGTACCTATGTCAGCTCGCATTAGCCGCGCGTTTGCAGTCTTTTCGTGGTTTCAAGCGTTCAAACGTGTGATATGTTGATCCCATGCATTAGGGTTGGTGTCAAGGTCACCTGAAGATCAGGTCAGGTCATTGACCTTTGATGATCTCGGTTTACTTTTTCGAGCTTTACATGTTTCTAGGCTAGTTTTTTTTAGCTGATTCGAATTTAGCAACCATTTGAAGTTTGAACATTTACGAAGCAGTTTTAGTGCCTTCGTAACATGTTACAAAGCTGTCAAGAGGTGGTTGACACCTACTACGAATACCCGACAGGACCCCTACTGGCTGACCTGATCTGACCTGACCTGACCTAAATGCATGAATACATCATCTGTGATCAAAACTTACATGATATTCGTGATAAGCACCAATAAAAAAAAACGTAACAGCAACAGTTTACGACGTTTTAACAGGTCCCGATTTCCCGACTTTTGGTCGACTTATGGGTCATTGACCTGACCTAGAAGGTCAACCAATGATCTAGGACCTTAAAATTGGAAAGCATCGGCTTCCTCTCGTCACGGGCAGCACGCTCATTTTTTCAGCGAAGCTCTAGCTCGATCAGAGGCCAAATGGCAAGGGGGTACAACGGACCCCCCCCCCTTATAGATTCGCGGCTGGCAAAACACCAATTCAGGATGGTTAACCTATAAGCATGAAGATCGTGCAATGAAGTGCCTGGCTCATTTTCACACCACAATCGGCATTTCATTCAGTCCCTGACTGACTGCCCCAGCATTTCTGCAGCTCACTGACTTACATTCATGGGTCTCCAGGTCAGTGAGAAGGGTGTTGATGGCAGCAAAGGCAACGGACATCTCCGGGTCCTCCTTCAGCAATGTCGTGAAGGAACGCTGAACAGCTGTGGACACAAACATACAAAACTCTCATAGCTGCCACTGAGTGCTTGTTTTTGAGTGGTTTGGTGACAGTGGTTTTAAAACACTATTAAAACGCTTTCATCCAAATAAATGAAAACACTATGGCCTCTATAAATATCCCTGAAAGGAGATCATGCCCTGCCATGACCCCTTTGACCAGAGCAGAGACTATGGTTGGTCTAGTACATGGTCTACAACTCCACAATAACTCCTAATAATCGCCTGGTATCAACAATATAAAAAAGCCAGTCAGCCAGTCATATCATGTCCCATAATTAATGCATAATAATGGCTTACCAGAATCATCCATAGTCATTGCAGCTATTTCAGTCCGAGTGAATTGAAGATAAACCTGGAAAAATTTGAACCCATCAGTGATCAGTCATCCCTCTCCACCATTGTGACTAGAGCCGACTGATAAAATCCTCATTTTTTGTCATTGTGTCGTCATCACAACTGCAATTTGCCAGTCCGTAGCTAAGTTGGTAGAGCGTTGGACTCTGTGTGGTAAGAGCACACAAGCCACACATCCCGATTATAACAGTCCGAGTTTGAAGAGCTGATGTTTATGAGCCTCCTGACAGGTATGGTTGTGTTTGGTGGAAGGCCATAGCCAGCCAAAGTCAGTGAAAGGACCGGCCATGAGCCGCTATAAGCATACATTCCACTTCAGACTCAGAATTCTGCCATAGATCATGATCAGGAATTGCGAGACTGGAGGGCAGGGCACAAATTGAAATGCAATAGACGCTCATGCCGCCCAGCTGGACGCTGGTTAAATTCCTTGTCTGTTGTCAAAGTAAATCTTTGAGACAGTACGAAAATTTGACTGATTTATAATCATGCTCAAGGCAACAGCCGCAACAGCCTGTCACCTTGCTGGCACCTGTCACATCACGCCTGTCACTTTCACTTCTGCTTTAGCTGTATCATATCAATAGGTATGCACTGAAAGATAGGTATAAATGGTATGGTATAGTATATATCATTGACCTAAAAAAGACTTCTATAGGTCAATGGTATATATATATATATATATATATATATATATATATATATATATATATATATATATATATATATATATATATATATATATATATATATATATATATATATATATATATATATAGAAACTACGAAACTTATAATGAAATTGCCTAATGAAGTTTTTGACACGGTGTATTGATAAACTTGATTGATAGGAGCAAGGGATATATGGATAGGTATATAGAACCCAAACCGTTTTTAACCGTTTTTATTATGTTTTTATCAAGATATCACGTTGTTGTTTTGTTGTTTTGGTTTTGGTCTAGGGCGCGTGGCAGCTTCGCTCTTGCGTCCAACTATCAAGATATCTATTTATATTTTATAGTCACCGTGGATATCTGGTGGATATCACGTTTTTATCTCGACGCACCCGTATAGTTTAGCAGCTAGCAGCCACCTTATTGAAACTTTTGCGCTGAATTTGTCCTATTTTACAAGCTCTTTTTAAATTCATTCCATCCATTATTTCATTGATTTAATTGTAAAAGTTTTTTTTTATTTTAAACAAATAAATATTATTGAATTGATCTTATACATATAGAAATGACAACGTTGTTTTTGCTCTAAAATTAAATACAATATTTATTAGATTTAAGAATTGTACAGGTTCAAAACGAACGCAGCTGAGACAATTATATTATGTTCAAAATTTGTTCAAGACATGACGTCTTGAGGGTAGTGCGCAATATTGACTAATTACAGTACGATACAAGTCGAAAGTTACTTTCGCAAGCTGCCCTCTTTTCTTTTTGATCAGCAGCAAATAGAACGTCAGCATTTGGTCAGTCGTCGTCGGAGTGCTTCGAGTCGAGAGTTACTACGACGTCCGTGTGAATCTTTTTTTCTTCAACTGGGTTACAATTTAAGCCATCCTTTTGAAAATGGCTAAATGCCTCGCCATAGGATGCCCATCAAACTCATCACATGTTCAAGCTCGATTGCAGGAAAGCTCATACAAATTAACTAGATTTATGCTAATGCTCCTTTTCGTTTGCCAGATATACATTCTGTTATTTGATTGTATGGCTTCATGCAGTAAGGATTCAGGTAAGTTACTGAAAAAGCAACAATGCTGAATTTTGTAACAGTCTTATATGATTTTCGGATTGGTACTTTATTAGAGTAGGGGTTTGAACACCAATCCTGTAATTTCCTGTTACCTGGTAATCCATTAGTATTAGGGTAAACCCCAAACTCAGCATAAGGGTATGGTGTTTGTTTATTTGGTCATAAGCAGTTTGTGAACAAGGATCATTTGTTTCATAGGAATAGAGACTGAGGGTGATAGGATCTAAAACTGAGGTTCTCCAAATTGCCACGCACAGACTCCAAAGAAGACTTGTTATAATCAGAAGCACTGCAATATGCAAAACATAAATAAAAACTTGCAAGGTCAAAGAACTCCTCACAAACATTTATACCTGAAAATATTTGTTTAGTTAGAGGAAGATACCATATGAAAATTTGGTCATTCATCAAATAATTCCCACTTTAGTCCTGTGTATGCTTGAATATACATTTGCCTTGTCTGGCTGACGTCACCCCTGCTCCCCTGTCTTCCCACAGGACAGCTGGACCGGGTGATGACGTTCCACCACTACAGTGCCATGTTTGCGCTCGAAGATGTCTTTTTCGAGATCGTGTCGCCGGAAGTGCTGCAGTACACCTACCTGATCCAGGTGACTCGCGATTTCGGCACCCCTTTCAACTTTACGCTGCGGGGCGCGCGCCTCGTGCCCGCCGACCCGTCGTTCGCCTGCGGACCGCTCGCCAACTGTGACGACATCGAGGGAGGCGTCGCCTTCGTTCAGAGGGGGTGAGTGCTGGGTTTTGGAGAAGGATTTGGTAGGATAAGCCACACATAGGATGCACACAGAGGATGCATAATGTGCCATTCTTCACATGCTGACGTTTCCAACTAGGTTTAGGATTTGGTTTAATCGGATTGGCTGCTGTCTACTCGGTGCCCACGTCAGTTATGAGGTAGGTATACATTTATGATTTCAGTGTGTAAACACTTCTTGAGAATTGAGTAGCCATGCGTCATTGACACACTGATGCGATGCTCGTGCTCATTGTTCACAATATCGTTTAAGTACGTTTATCGTGCCGCAGGGATTGTCCGTTCGTCGAGAAGGCGATGAACGCCCAGCTCTGCGGGGCGCGCGCCGTGCTCGTGTTCGACGACGACCCGGAGAATGTCGAACACTTCATAGAGATGACGTCCGAGAGCAAAACAATGCACCCCACCATACCCGCGGCGTTCCTGCTCGGAAAGAACGGGTGAGTTGTGAAAACGCCGATCACGTGTGGATGTTGTTTTTTAAATCGCACGTCTAGGATGTTTTGACACATATTCCGTTTGTGTTGGAGTTTTCATTCATTTTCGTGGCTTCAGTGATCATTTAATTTATGCATTATATGAAAGTAAAATTTTACATTTATTTCAAATGAGCTACACAGGTTATTCCTGAATTGCTGCACAGTTGTGGGCTGTGGCTATCTCTGACTCCAAATGATAGTCTGAGCATACCAACCTCACCCCTATTTCTCTCTCGTTCCTCAGGTACGTAATTATGGAGACGTTGCAGCGACTGCGGCTGAGCCATGCCGTCATCAACATCCCCATCAACGCCAGCATGTACCACATTCACGAGCGCAAGCAGCCGCCCTGGGTGCTCTGGTGACATACACAGGTCAGCTCAGGACAGCCCCGCTGCCCGTGGGTGTGCCCTTGGCAAAACACCCCGAGGGACCTTCGCTGTCGCATCAGGGCCTAATCAACGACCAAGTCAAATGTGAGGGTCAAATCTGAGGGTTTTTGCGCTTACATAAGGACGTGGCCTCGGCTGAATGAGCCGGGACGCGTATTTATTGCTCATCGTTTGTGGTATTCGGCAAGGCGATGTGTTTGGGTTTTCGTGTGTTTGTTGGGGTCAGAGGGTGCTGTTTTTTTTTTTGTAGCTCGCTGCAGTGAGGAATTTGTCATTTCCAGTCGTTCACTGGGGTCATTAGTTAGCCAGGTAAGAGTGGTCTGCTGTGTTTGGGGTCTGGGATACTGAGTTAGCCTGAAGTCAGCCAGTAGAGGGCATAGGCGGGCCGCGGCTCGCCTACCTCAGCAGTGCCTGGGCGCCGCCTTGTCGCGAGTGGTCACCTCTGGGAGGCCGTAGTTTGTACGTTATTGGTACCTATTAGCTTCAGTAATCCACCTGACAAAATGTGACGAAGCGTTGTAGCATGGGACGCCATTGAAGGTCCTCCGTCTCCTCAGAGCCGGTCCCCGGGCCCTCTGGGAACCCCGTGCCCCCGCGGGGTGTTACCGGTAGTGGATAGAGGTCGCTCAGAGCACTGTGATAAATAGGTGTGCCGCCGCGCGGGGGCACGCTGGTGGGTACTGGGCCGGCGAGCTCCGCGGGGCGGTATCAGTCAGTTCCTTACAGAGCGGCTACTGCGTGAGGAGACGCAGTCGTGACTGCGTAGTACGCAGAACCGTGATTGTGCGAGACGCAGCGTCAGGCATTGTCTGCGATCAGCATGTGTTGGGTCAGCGCTGCGGAATCACATTTGCTGCAGAGTCACATTTGCTGCAGAGATGGAGCAGCAGTGGAAGCACGCAAACATGCCGAGGCTCTCAGAGCCTCGCTATGCACGAGCTTCGCCCTGCTCACAGGCGGGCTGCTGCTTCCTGATTGGTAGACCCCACCTGCCGACAAGTCATGTGATTGACCAGACGTGTTACCGTCCCACCGGAGTGGATTCGATGGGCGGAGTGTGCGGACGGTGACATCAGAGAGAGAGATAGTGCTGGGGTGAGGAGGGTGCTGGATCGCGCCTTTGTATACGCCAGTCTGGAACCTTTTGATGTGGTTATCTAATGGCGTTACTGTTTCTCGTCATTCAGATGTGAAAATGCACGTATTTCGTCAAGAATTGGGTTAGCGGATTGCTGATTCGCAGAATAATATTTGCCAGAAAAAAAAATTGTTATTTGAATGGCCATATATGTTATTTTCAACTTAACTTTAGTTTCAGCTTAGTAATTTCGGTTGCTTTGCGCCAGCCCCAGTTCGACTCAAACGTTCGTAGGTGTATAATAGCACCAAAGTTTCGTGGGTCCGGGAACAGTGCGTTGGTCATTGAGCGAGAGTCTTGGTCGGGCTTCTTTAACGTGAACATATGTCTCCGCCACGGGTGATATACGAAGTTGTGCCTCAATCAAACAAACTGCCAACTGGCATGCATGACGCGAGAAAAACCCATGTAGACTTACCATCATTGTTTCTGCATGTTCATGATGTTTAAAGGTGATAAAGTGAATTTTCGGTCGTCAGCTAGCGCTTTGGATTGCGTCGGAGGATTGCTGTTGATTCCTAGTAACCTATGCCAATAGTCGTGTGCATTAGGTGGGGGCTGCGTGGTATGTTTTATGCGATCTCAGGTACAGTCATCAGCAGTGGGTTTGTTGATTTCAATACAAATTGCTCGGTGAGACTCTGTTTTGGCTGATCCAGGTGACACTGACAGTGACGAACCCACGCGGAGGAAATCGAAAGGGACAATGGCTCTATTGCGATAACCGGACCGGATGCGCTTCTGACCAAAATATGTTTTGTGTAGAGAGGAAATTATAATGGATCCCCTCCCCCACATCCAGTCATAATTGGTCAATGCAGATGGGCTAATGCAGTATGTCCTACTTTTTGTATGTGTCCGTGGAATGTTTGAGTTACTGTCCTAAACTGTATTCTTCGCATTGATGTTTTTGTTGGCTGTTTAGTGGATCCCTTTCATGAGTTTCTCCGCAACTTTGCCAATGCGATATTATGAATCCGGCTGAGCTTACGAGTGTGATATATAATATGAATATAATGTAAGCACTGTACGTACATGAAGCAACTGCTCACTGCATAATAGTAGAGACGTAAATGCATCGTATGAATTTTACACTACGATTCCAAAATATGATGATTGGCTATATGATGGTTTATGGTAAAACATGAAAATTAGAAGCCACGTTTATTTCAATCCCACGACAGTCGTACAGTAACTGTAGTACGACTTACGAGTAGGGGAGACCCGGGAGGCATGGGCCGGTTTTGTGAAAAGGCAATTTTCTTCCAGTGGGCAGTGGCTAGACCCAGTTTTTCACTCTGTGTACGTGAAATTGCCTTTCGTCTGCAATGTGTGCCGGATATAAGGCATCTGGGATCAACTATTTTGTCTCGAGATAACTTTCAATAAATCATGCACTTTTTCGATCCATTAAAATAACCCGGAGGTATGGGCCATGGCCCAGGAGGTATGGGCCGGTGCCATGTTTCATATTCTTTTCTCGACAATGAGAACAATACTCGTAGCTGGTATCTACCTTGATCTCTCTTAGAGCCCAGGAACCACATAAGCGGCCAACAGCTTACTTCATGGAGGTCACTTGGGCTCATATGTATTTTGGTAAACTCAAGCATGCGCCATGACATAAGATCAATAATATTTTTCTGTCCGAATGAAATTTGAAGTTAAATTTTCGACCCTGCGCGACAAAAATAAAACTTATTGACGGGGACATTCAATGAAAGCATCTTTTTATTCATTTAGGATCGACCGGATGGGTGGCCCGAACCTCTCGGTTAGGAGGCCAGAATATGCGTGCACCTACCTCAGCTCATAATCTTGCAAGAAAGCTTCAAATTGTCTATCCAGTCTTAATTTGCATGCTTTAAACTTTATCTTAGCGATGGTCTGACATCATAAAACGAGCCTGGTTCAAATTTATCACGAATTTTCTGTATGTACCGTATTTTACTCGAAGAGGGCAAAAACGCTTTATCACCGCTCGTTGCTAAAAAAGACTGAGGAAGATTTTGAAAATCACGTGGGATGTATAACGGAATGGCTGCTACCAGTTAACGCCGTCAAATGTGTAGAAATACGCAACACTTCTTCAAAACTGCGATGGCCCATACCTCCAGGGGGCCCATACCTCCCGGGTCTCCCCTAACTGTTTGCCTGCTAATTACTTGATTCCATGTCTTAAACTAAAAAAAACAGTTATTCATCACTGTTGGCATTTTCTTAACGCTTTGAAGGCTGGCACGCGACGGTGGCTAATTTCCGACTGCGTGCCACGATTCGAGCTCACGTTGCCTATTATGGTCCGTGTCAGTTGTTTTCCGCGTGGGCGCCCGTAGCGTAACTGGTGGTGACATCCTGACCACGGCCGGCGGAAAACACAAGCAGTATTGTTGTGACGAATGTGCTGGGGTGGGGTGGTGAGGGGGGGTCCGACTGGACAACACCTGGCCCTCGCGAGGCCTCAGTTGTGGGGAGACCGACCGACCGGCGGATGTGCCGGGTGACGGTCAAACTACCATTTTAAACGGCACCTTCAAACGGCAATTCACTTATGGAAATTAAACGTGCTGAAAACGTAGCCTCGTTATCAAGTATGCTGGTTGAAGAATTTCTATACCTACGATTGCCGGTTATCATCTGGTCGGTATGGCCATTGACCAGCGCCGTATACCTACTAGACATTTATAGACATACACTGTGGCACTATGTGGAATACCAGCGTGTATTTATCCCTACCTGTATAGGCTTTATAGCTAGGGGAGGGTGGGGTAAGACGGGCACCCTAACTATGGAGCCATTTTTTCGGCCGGTTAAAAACAACATAGAGACGCGAAACTGAGTGAAACCCTTTTTTAAACCCTTTTTATTCCATTTGCCAGAAGATGAAACTTGGCTAGATAAGTGAAACTTTTTTAAATATAAAGGTACTGTATTATAGAAAGCCTTCCCAAACGCGTTTCGAACATACAGGGTGATCAATAAAGAATGACATTAAGTTAGTCCCCACGAGAGGCACATAATACATATTTCAATGCATAAACAGCACACCGTTAGAAAAAGAAATGTTGGACAAGTTGACATTACACAAACGAAAGTCAGTTGTGACACTTCGTATGTCTATTGTCTATAGGAGGTGCTTGAAGTGCCCACTCCTCTACGCGCAGCAGCAGTGGCGGATCCAGGGGAGGGCAAAATGGGCATTTGCCCTCCCCAAAGCTAAATCATGTGGGCAAGACTGTCCTTTTGCCCCTCCCAAAGCATATAGAGATGATAAAATTGAATACGGCGTCGAGGACTATCTGGACGAAAAGCAGGACTTTCGGTGACGGCCATTCCGAAGGAAGGAGCTGGACGCTCGCTGGTGATGATTTATGCCAGAATGCTGTTAATAGATCGAACTCCCTGAACTGATTGCATGTAGATAGTGTGGCGTTGTAAAGTCGTTTGGTCATCTCGGTGCTCAAGGGCAGCGGAAATCTGGATAGAGGGTGCAGGGGTTTCAGCTCCAGACCCATGGAAAACATTGGAGTGCAAACAAAGCTTTTTACATCCTCCAAAAGCCGTATAAGAGGCCTGTCACACCACCAAATACATTTTATCCTAAAAACCAGTGATCGGGAAACGAACGATCATGTGGGATCACCGATCATCGGACGTCCAGTTATTGGTCAGGAGCGCCCTATGCTGGTCTTTGGGGCCCTCACCGGCTAGGAGTGTCCCGAACCGCGTTTGGTGCCCCATGACGGCATCTGAGGACCCCACGAAGACTCCAGGGGTTACGCTGCCTCTGAGGGCCCCCACGGCGATCTCTGAGGGCCCTCGTGACACGGTCCTAGACCCATCTCAGGTCTGAGTGCCCATCGGGCTTTAGACGGCCCACGACGGCCTCTGAGGGCCCCAACACAACCAGGCTGCAGGGGCTATGCTGGCATCTGAGGAACCTGTGACGGTCTCTTGATGGCCCTAACGATGGACTCTGATGTCCTTACCACAGCCTCTGAGGGCCTTGCAAAGATACCTGAGGTCCCAGGGCCTATGAAGACCGTCATGATGGCCAAGGATCTTCATGATGACCTCTGATAGTCCTCTTGAAGGCTTCTAAGGGCCCTCACAACAATTTCCACAGTGATTCCACCCGAGACGGTCCCTGAGGGCCCTCACGACGACCTCTATCATCTATAGGCCCCTACGACGGCCTCTAGGACCCAATGCAAGCTTCAAATGCCCACGCTGGCGTCTGAGGGCCCCACGACGGCATCTGATCTGGCCTCAACGCAGGCAGATTGCAGGGGTCATGCTGACCTCTGAGAGTCCTGTAACGAAGGATCCAAGGGCCCACGCTGGCCTATGAAGAACCCTACGACGGCCTCTGGAGGGCCTTAACGCAGGCAGGGGACATGCTGGCCTCGGGGCCCCGCGAAGATTTCAGATTCAAAGGCACTTCACAACGACCTTTGAGGGCCTTACAAAGGTCTCTGAGGGCTTACGCAGGCTCGTGGGATTCCACACTGATTGTCAAGTCCCATGTAGGCTTGTTGAGACACTGTATCCGCTCCTGGTGCCCCTTCGCCGGCCTCTGAGAGTCTCAACACCGGAACTTCTTGGCCCTACACCGGCTTTTAGGACCATTACATCGATCTTGGTACCCACGACCCATCAAATATGTGTCCAAGCGGCTTCTAAGAATCCCCATGCATGTTCCACGGACATGAAGCCGAATTTTTGGGCTCACATGCGAGCTCTTGGGACCCCATGCACGCTCCAGGGGCCTACCTGCCTCCAAGAGCTTCACACATACTTTTGGGGCCCTAACGCTTGCCCCTGAAGGCCCCACTCAGACTCCTACCCTTTCCTCCACACCGGTTCTTTAGGCTAAACATCAGCTCCTTTGGCCTCTATCCCGGTTTTTGAGGGCCTCCATACAGGCTTTTTGGGTCCGATGCCGGTCTTTGAGAACTTTCCAGACTCTCGAGCCTACGCTGCTTTCTGAAACCCTTCAGCACCTTCTGAGGAACCGACCCTGGTCGGGGACTCATTCAATCTGAGAAGTCGTGAAGGCTTCTGGAGGAGCCTCCATTGAGTCATTCAGTTTCCAGAGGTTTTTTAACGGTCTTGCAAGAGCGGACCCGTAGGGCTCTCAAAGGTCCACTGCGGATCCAGAAAAGTGGTTTGAGGCTTGCGGGTGGTGGTTAGCATAAGAAAAATCACCCAGTAAAAAAAAAAACTTGTTGCATTTCACTTATTTAGGTATGCTGTGATTTTGTTAGGTTCACTGAAATATGCAAACATTTCGGATAACTTCCTGTATGAATTGTTTCCTTAACTTTTGGTTTTCATAAATCGATGATTGACAGCTTGAAAAAGTAAAGGGGCCCAAAACCTTCAGTGGGGCCCCTTGAGAAAATTTTGCATCCCCATCCAAAATTTATCTTACATTCCTCCCAGTGCGGGGGCGGATAGGGGTTGTCGGATAGGTCGGAAACTTTTGCCCTCCCCAAACGGATCGGCTGGATCCGCCCCTGCGCAGCAGAGCTCGGCCCGGCGCCGGGTGTGCCACGCCATGCGTCTCAGATGGTTTACGACCATCGTGAGGGCGTAGTCCTCGATGACTAACAACAACATTCAGCTCATCAAGGG